ACGTAAATTTCAGATATACGTTATTCCAAAAAAAAAAAAAAATTTCGCTTGAAGATGGAACAGAGCTTATTTTAACTCAATTTAATTTAAATAATTATATTAAAGTTTTCGGCTCTTGTTTTGAAACATGAGGCTTCTTATGTAGCGTTTTGGAATCATATTTTTAAATAAATAATTATATTTATGCTCTACTTTTGTATCGAGCAATATTTTTTAAAAATAATAACTAAAATACTAAGGAACTTTGGATTATTTACCTAACCAGTTCCTTCCTATATTCTATATATTTTCACACACACACACACACACACACACACACACACACACATATATATATATATATATATATATATATATATCCTAATTTTTTTATATATGTACACATTAGATATACATTATTTACGTAAACTTCAGTGCTATTTATTTAATCATTTTTGTTCTCCGTGCAACTTTTAACAGTTATTCTTTAACTAAAACCCTTTTAAATGACTTCAGATATTAATGTTAGATTTGATAACCGTTCAGAAGTAGAAGATTGTCGGAAAAGTGGAACGGGCCACGGTTAAACCTGACTTGAGTCCAGAGTTCGTCGTCGGCGGCATTGGCAGAGCGTTGTCTGGGAAGGTCGTGGGTAGATTACATGACGCCGTAGAGTAGTAATTCGATTAACGGTTACCTGGATGCAAAGTCAACCGCAGAACGGTGTGAGAAAACACAGAAAGAGTCACAACACAATCGAAAAAGAAAACCAAAAACAAAAAAAACAAAAAAATAATAAAATAATAATCTATCGATCATCAGAGAGGTATCAGTGAGTATTAAATAAATAAATAAATAAATAAATGAACTGTTATTGATCAACTAAATACAGAAAGGTGAAACGAACCAGGTCGCCTGATAAACTGCCTGATAATGATCGATTTCGCGTACACATGTACAGAATTCAAAAGCGTTTGTGCAATGAATTGTTTCCAACCGTACCACGTCATTCCTTGCAGAAAAAGCGACCCAAGTCGATCGCTTCTCTGTCATTATTTTCTTTGAAAACATTCAGCTAACACACATTCTTTATTTTTACCAATTCAGATCTTCATAGCTACCACCAGGGTTGGATTATCCCATAAGTTACGACAGACTGCAGCCACGGGTCCCTCAATGTTATAATGCTGGTTATAAATAAACTGTATTTTTTTGTGTGTATTTGAGAGTTTTACTACAGTATTGTTGAAGTATGTGTTAAGTTGTTTTGCAATAAACAATAAAATAGTCATTCAGTTATGTGCCATGCATCACGGTCTGTCCTGCTATTTAACCATAGCTGGGGGGAAGAAGAAGATTCATACATATACCATATTTGGTATAAACGCAAACACTTTAAAAAAAGAAATTTAAAATCAAACTCAGCGTTGCTTTGGCGCGTTCAAAAACCAATATCTCATTTTCAATAGCATTTCGGATACAATACACATATATTTTCGATGTCCTCTTATTACTAAGAGAAAAAAACAAGAACAACATCTATTATATACCTGAAGATGTCTGTAGGAACAGACGAAAGCTTGTAGTAAAAATAACAACTAATACGGCAGAAATTTATATAAACAAGGATCAATTCATTCATAACGGATCTGGAGGTTTTTGTGTACTATTTGAATTGTTAGCGAGATGGATGTCTGGCCATTTAAATCATTAACCTTTGCATTAGTTTTGTGTGAATAATTCATGTATTTGTAAATTGATTTATTATATACGTTATATATATATATATATATATATATATATATATATATATATATATATATATATATATATATATAACCCTGATTTTGAAAGACCGCTGCCGTGCGATCATACCCAAACACGTAAAAAAGCTATGGAAGCAAAATCGAGGCGGAATATCTTGAGTGGCGCCCAGAAGGTGGCTGACTGTAAACGAAGACAACTTTCCGGCACCTACTGAAGACAAGCCGACCTCAAATATAATGCCCTGTATTCCTCTGGATCTTGTCGGTATGGCCAAGAGTGGGCCATATAGTTTGAGCAGTGCCCAAACTTCATATACCATTGCATAGAATTCTGCACTGGAAATTAGACTATTCCTCCCCAAAGCAAGTAATAACGATAGCGAACACACAACTAAAAATCACATACACATTTATTGCAAAAACCAAATGCATATTAATTACAAACAAGATGAATCTTCTCTAAGGCATATTATAAAGAAATATACTACTCCTACTGATCCGAATAAAAAAATCAAACTTATTATCTATTATAAAAATTTAAGACGGCCAACCTTATCCTCAAAAATAACAACACACCAACTAAGTCAAAATTACAAAGAACAAACATTATCTATGAGTTCAAATGCCCTTTAAGGAACTGCGTTCCTCACCAAACCGGACTCATAAATAATTACATCGGTTACACAGCCACATGTTTATCCAGACGTCTTACATTACACCTATCTGATCACAGCTCCATCAGAACACATTTAAACACACACTCAGATTTACCCGACACCATTAGGAACATACTAGTAGAAAACACAAATATATTAACTGCATCCACTTGCAAAAAAAGACTAAAAATAATGGAAGCTCTAATAATAAAAAAGAAAAAGCCAACTCTTAACAATATTAACTACGAACAAAGCCACAATGTGCTAACCGTATTCGGAAACTAAAAACATCACTACCACACACTGAACATACACAGAACACACACACACTCTACTAAGCTGATAATCCAATCATCCTTGATAATGGCTAAAGGTATAGCGGAAAGCGCTCGGAAACACAGAACATTTGGACAGTTCTTACACACTCTTTGTCCAGAAAAGAAAGCTCTTGTCAGAACACAAGAAAAATTAAATAAAAAGCTCAACCGTAGTACCTTGTCTGTCGTTTTTAATGAAACATGCATAAAGGAAGGATTGCTGCCTAAATATACAAATATATATATATATATATATATATATATATATATATATATATATATATATATATAATTGTTTTAAAATATGAGGGTGTCTGAGTGTTCATTGTGTCTGTATTTTGATGTATCAGTTATTAGTTACGTTTTGATAGGGGTAGGGATGCATTCTTCAATGAAATCTGACATCCATTAAATGCATGTCGTCTGGATTTTTTAAAAATTTTATTGTTAACGGCAAAAATTCTTACGACATTTTTTTCTATTTGTATATTTAAAGATTTTTGCGGGTGTTTAGGTTAGAATATATTTTATTTAACTACAATTTGAAAAATATTTTCACTTTCAATTTTTAATATACTGGTCTGGTTGAAATGAATTTCTCTGTATCCTTGGAAACGTGAATTATGATTTTTGCTGTCTTTAAAACCCAATAATTTTAAAAGTTACTCCAAAATTCGCTTGAGGATGAAATGGAACTAATGACTTTAATTTAATTACAAAATTAAATTCGGGGCTTTTAGCTTCTATGTTTGAAACATGGTTAGAACTGTGAAGCGAAAAAACATATTTTAAATCAATTAATTTATAATATTACTGCTCTGTAAATTTACATTGAGTACTATTTTGTAAAAATAATAATATCTATAAGAACACCGGCTTATATATCTTACTGTTCTTTCTTTATATATATATATATATATATATATATATATATATATATATATATATATATATATATAATGATCCAATCATTCAGACAAGGGGTGGTAGCGTGTTCATTTTTATTAACTTTTGTTGTATCAGTTATTCGTTAATGATTTGATCTCTCTGTATTCTTGGAAACTGTGAATTATGACTTTTTCTGTGGCTTTAAAACTCAGTAAGTTTAAAAAATAAGTTACTCCAAAATTCGCTGGAGGATGAAATTGAACTAACGTTTTTAATTGGATTACAAAATTAAATTCGAAGCTTTTAGCTTCCATTTTTGAAACATGGTTATTACTGTGTAGCGAAAAAAACCATATTTTAAATCAGTTAATTTATAATGTTAATGCTCTGTAAATTTACATTGAGCACTATTTTGTAAAAATAAAAATATCAATAAGAACACCAGATTATATATCTTACTGTTCTTTCTTGATATAATATTTCGAAGACAGTAGGAAAGCGTAGCGTATATATATATATATATATATATATATATATGAAAAGTGTGTGTAAATATAAATAAATATATATATGTATAATTATTTATATATTATATGCGCGGTAGTTATTAGAAAGCGCTCAATATCAGAGATAGAGTTAACATATTTGGTTGGATAGATGTTTTGTTTGTCAGACCCTCGGTTTCAAGCGTTTGCGATCGTCAGACTAACGAACGCATATCTAAACAACCAAATATATATATATATATATATATATATAACATATATATATATATATATATATATATTTGAGGGTGACTGCGTATATAATTTACATATAGAACACTAACCATCAATAAATATAGACCACTACTAACTGGGTGCATTATATTTATATTGAAAATATCAAAAACATTAAATATCAATCGTTATTTGAAATATTTTACATGCAGACACTAAACTTTGTACTTTGAGTTAATATTAATAGGAGCTGAAAACAAAATATTTCAAAAAAATTAAATATAAAATTGTTATTAAAAATATTTTTTGCGCAGACACTTCCCAGGGTTAGTACTTTGAGTTAATATTAAAGACATGTTTTCGCATAAAATCATTTTAGATTTCAAAACACACACGCATCCGCCAAATCCACTCACAAATATGCTTGCATAAAATCGCAATAACAGATTGCGATAAAAGATCTCAAGTTCGTAAATCTGGATATAAATGCAAATCCGGACGGCTGTGATTTGCGACACCCATCTGTTTGTACACGGCATGGAAATATTTGGACCGAAAATCAATTTTCGATATCAATATATCTTGTGTGTCGTCGCTCAATACACGAAAATCAATGGAATGTTTATAGTCACTTTTATTTTATGTGGATCGTAAGAACGAGCCACATAAACTCAGCCTCTCTTTCGTGATGCGCCCCTCCTCCTTTTCCGGATATAGACGATCGTGGATCTCCACAACTTGTCTCACTCTATTTTACACTGTGCTGTTTGTTCAGCCCTCCATTTTGCTCGGGCTTCATATCTGAGAGGACTTAGAAATGTGGTCTCTTTATTGCGTCATTTGGAAGTCATTTATTGGAAAAAAATGTGTGCAGTGATCACGTGACGCAATGGAATTCAGTCAGAGCTTAGAAAACCCGCGAAGCAGAGCGGACTTTCTATGATTTTATCTGGGTCCGAAGCGGGCATCTCGAAGCGGTGTAATGGTTAGCAAGCTTGTCTTGATGGAACAACGAGTAGTGAGTTCGATCCTCACTGGGTGCCCCATACTTTCGGCCCAGTGCCACATCTAAGCTACGCTTAGAAAATCATTTAGAGCAGCTCGAGGTGGTGTAATGGTTAGCAAGCTTGTCTCGCTAAAACAATTACAACTGAGTAGAGAGTTCGTTCCTCACTGGGTGCCCCATACTGGGTGTTACATCTACGCTACGCTTGGAAAATCATTTAGGCCACCTCGAGGCGGTGTAATTGTTAGCAAGCTTGTCTCGCTAGAACAATTACGGCTGAGTAGAGAGTTCGATCCTCACTGGATGCCCCATACTGGGTGTCACATCTAAGCTACGCTTGGAAAATCATAATCTGGGTCCGAAGCACGGTACTATCTAAGGCGCACTAGAATAAAGAAAGATGCCTTCCAAAAGCTAAACAGGGTTCAAACACCGTCGAGTTTGGACAGTACCTAGATAGATGACCACCCACGCGAATACGAGGTGTTGTAAGTTTGGACGTGCGGGCAGAGCAATGGATAAAAACAAAAAAAAAACAACAAAAAAAAAAAAACAACTAAAAAACAAAGATACAAACAGATTACCAAGAGGATGCTTCAATGAGTTTTGTGTGTTCACTTAATGGACCAAGAAGAGCACTTTAGCCTTGGGTGGAAATCCAAGTTGGTATCGCTATACCCCTTACCTCCCACCCCACCCCACCAAAAAAAAATCACTGTCTATGTACTGAAGATTATGTAGTCGTGGATATGTAACGGTCTACCTACCCCCTACGCCAAAAAAAACAAAAAACATACACACACTTAACCCAGGAGTCAGATTACTGTAGCAGATGTAGCGGGCTACACCACCCACTGCCACCCACCAACAGAAATCACGTACAGACTTACAAAAGCATTCTGGGTATGCAGCGAGCTGAAAACAAAACAAAACAAAACAATAAATAAATAAATAAAAATCACGCACTTATCCTAGCATATTCGTGTGTTTAGAGCAGACTAAAAAAAAGGCCTCCCCGCCACAAAAAAAAAAAAAAAATGGAAAAAAACAAACATGCACACACTTGACCCAGCAGTCTGGTTATACGTGGGGATATAAAAAAAAAACAATCCCGGCATTCTTAAAAACAATTAAGTCATGGGCGCTTTCATTCTATCGCAAGCGGAAATAACGTTTTTTTTTTTTTTAAATTTTTACCATTTTTTAGGGGAATTCTTGAGCCGTATCGTTCAGGTTTACTCAACGTTTTATTTTTCGTGAAATTAATCCAGTATAAAAGGTGCGATGGATAAACAGCCATCTAAATGACGCAGGAACGAAAATAACACCCCATTTTAACAAATATATTTACTAGTTACACAAAAAATATCTTGAAGTACTAAAGTATAAATTTATTCAATAAAATCACCATTGCTTTCAACCCCTGCCTCCAGACGACTTCGGAATCTCCTGCAACTCTTCTGAATTTAGCAAAGTAGGTTATTAGCAAAGTAAAACAAACACGTTGCGGCTGCTCTGCAGAAATTTAAATAAACATGGCAGTAGACAACAGTTATAACAAAAAAGGTCATAAGCGGTTGGCAATTCGTATGTAATTAATACATTTATTTTTTACGGGTGATATGCTTGTAATTTAATAATGTTTAGGCAAGGGAAATATTAATTTTCTATCTGCCCTGAATTTTAATTTAGTCAGGGGCTTTTAAATCAGATATCACTTTTATAGTCGACTGATGAATTTTTTCTATAATATTTATTAAAGATAGCAGTAAAAAAAAGAAAAAAAGAAATTACGTCATGTGATTTACTAGAAAGCATTTAATAAAAATTGACGCAATAATAAAAATCAATATATAAAGAGAGCGATGGATAAATTGTTGTCAAAATGACGCCCGAATATAAAAAAAAAAAAAAAAAAACAGCCACCACATTTTAACAGATATCCACGGTGCGAAGGATAAATTGTCATCTAAATGACACCCTGATGAAAATAACCCTGACACCTCATTTTAACAGATATGCAGGATGCGATGGATAAATTGTCGTCTAAGGACATAAAGGTTTCAGTTCAACATTCCAACCACCTGACGAAGGCCGGAAAGTACAACGGCCGAAACGTTGTGTTAAATATGGCAACAAAAATGGGGATGATAGTCCGAACAATGTAAATAGTGTACATAATAACTCATCTCAGATATATAGACGGATACTGAAGGGCCGAAACGTTGTGATAAATCTGGCGACAAAGATGAGGACAATAGTCCGAATAATGTAAATAGGACATAATACCTCATCGACGGATACTGAAGGGCCGAAACGTTGTAAAATAGTGTCCGAATAATACATAATACCTCATCTCAGAAATATAGACGGATACTGAAGGGCCGAAACGTTGTGATAAATCTGGCGACAAAGATGAGGACAATAGTCCGAATAATGTAAATAGTGTACATAATACCTCATCTCAGAAATATAGACAGATACTGAAGGGTCGAAACGTTGTAATAAATATGGCGAGAAAGATGAGGACAATAGTCCGAATAATGTAAATAATGTACATAGTATCTCATCTCAGAAATATAGACAGGTACCAGATTTTAAAAATTTCTTGTTTTCATTGTCCTTCCAATTACAAGCAAAAATTGTACATATGAGGACTAGTCAGGACTACATAGAGACTCTGCGGCATTATAGTGACTGTAATAAGAATGGTAAGTAAGAATGTGTTGAAGGTGTACTGTGGTATGTTTGGGATAGTAATTGTGGCTGGCTAAGTTTAATTATAAGACAGAATAAAACCAACCTTTCTCCTTCCTCTTATTTAGACTTGTAAGACATTTTTGTATTTTACAAAATAAATATTATTTTTCTCTTTGTGCTTTTCGTATTCGTTGTTCCGTTTGAATGAGTGTGTGAGTGCTTATGTCTCAGATTAATTTCTTCCAGTTAACTGATGTTTCTGCCACAAGTTTTTTTTCGCCCGAGTCCATCTTTCAAATCTATAAATCAACCATTGGCCCTTGCATGGAATACTGCTGCCATATATGGTCAGGAGACCCCGCTGTTTGTCTTAAGGTCCTCGACAGAATCCAGAGACAGATATGCAATGTGATTGGCCCTGATCTGGCATCTCGTCTACAGTCGCTCTCTCACAGACGTGCCGTCGACTCCCTCTGTCTTTTCTACAAATACTTTCACGGTAACTGCTCCGACGAGCTACTTTTGCTAGTTCCCAGACTGCATGAATTTAAACGTGCCACCTCTTAATTGCTGTTGTTCCCAGATCCACTCTGACCCGAGGTGGTAGCACCCGTTAGGGTCTCAGCTATGGGGAAATAGTGAACCCCCAAACAAAGACAAAAGTCTGGGTAATTTCATCTTACCCTTTCACTGTGGAAACGGTTAAATGTAGCCGACTCTTCTACTCCAATAGCTTCATGTCTCACACTTCCCATCTGTGGAACTCCCTTCCTCTTACTTGCTTCTCTGATAGCTATAATCTCCAACTATTTCAATGCATTGTCAATCGACATCTCCAGATGCCTCAATCTAATTCCCCGTCCTTCTATTCATCCTTTTCCTCTGTCACGCCTCTTTACTCTTGCTCCCACACTCTGTAACCCCTTTGCGTGGTTGTGGAACTCCGGCGGTGCTTGGGGGTGAAAAGCTTTAAAAAAAAAACCCGAGAAACAAATAATAATAATAATAAAGGATTGTGGTGGGGGTGGGGACTATTACTCTACCGTGACACCTGCACATAATACGTCTGTATTATTCAATGAAACACGTTTGAATGAAGATATGGTGTCTAAATAGCTATGGACAAATAGTGGACCCCCCCCAATCTGGGGTCAAAACACTATAAAAAATGTAAAAATAGGTTTTAGTACCAGTAATACATTTTTGTACAAGTTATTATCAGTAATGAATTTTTGAAGAAAAAATTTTACCCACAATAAAAAAAACACACTTGTCGGCATTAATTATCACATTGAGGTTAATGTCATGGGGTCCACCCTTTTCAGATATAATGGACTCGTCCTGCTGCCATAAAATAGCCACAGTCAGGCAGAGAAGATGAGTCGTACATGAATCGTCTGTGAGTGTCGGTAGTCGGATAGAGTGAAGTAACCTCTTGTAGAAGTCAGTTACAAGCACGTAGACTCTAAGGAAGTCCTACTTCGAGACTGTATATATCTATCTGTATTTGCTACTAACCGGTGTTCCTGGATTTTACTAACAGCATTACCTTTTGTATTTTGTGTAAATACATTTAATTTCTTAGCTTAAATACTTGCGTTTGTCATTTATTGGATACCTATTTTTCACGCGGGATCCACAACAGTTAATATGCCGTAAAACAAACCAAAAACAAAATATATATATATATATATATATATATATATATATATATATATATATATATATATATATATATAGTTAAACCTAGAAGCCAGACAAACCTACCAAGGTTTCACCTAAGCGGATCGTCAGGAAGGCTGGCTAAAATGGTAAAGAAACAACGGAATAATAAAAAACAAATAATAATATTAAATAATTGTGGTGGGGGTGGGATCTATTACTAACACTATTTTGTTTAGTTTCTTGTATAAAAATTTTAAACTTTATAAATATTCATTGGAGTTTCATTTTTAAATGTTGATATATTCCGCACGCCCCCCCCCTCCCGAGAAAAATTCTACATATGGGAACTAGTTAGAAACTTTGAGTTATTGCAGTGGCTGTAATAAGAATGGTAAGTAAGGAATACTGTGGCACATTTAATTATCTGCCAGAAA